AAGCAAAAAGAACAAAGCAGGAGGCATCACACTACCGGACTTCAAACTATACTACAAGGCTACAGTAATCAAAACAGCATGGTACTGGTACCAAAACAGAGATATAGACCAATGGAACAGAACAGAGGCCTCAGAGGAAATACAACATACCCACAACCATCTGATCTTCATCTTTTCTTAAAATTTACACATGACATGCTTCACTAGAATACTCTTTCACTATTAGAAGACATCAAACTATGTACTATTCTTAATTAAAGCCCTATTTCAGTTAAAGTAAAGCAATCTGCAACTTAATTATAATAATATAAACTGCAGTGTAATTAATGACATCGTATGTATTTTCATCAGATAATTAGAATAGTCAGTAAATAAAGCTTTACAAAGCAGGAAATAAAACAGGTGAGGAGCTGTGCCTCATTCATCACCTCACTGACTAATGAGAGTCTGAATGAAGATCAGTCATTTACTACACATGCCTTGATGGTGTGCAATAAAAGTACACACTGCAGACAGCTCTACTAACTTAATGTAAAACAAAGCAAGTGTCAGAAATACCCATACAGAGAAGTGATAAAATAGTGTATAGCTTAAACTAGCTCATTTATCAAGAAAGACAGAATAATTATTAAGAATGCCCAAACTGTATGCCCTGTGATAGAAATGAATGATGGGAACATTAACTACATTATTTTAAGAACACACTTTAAAAAACCCCAAATCTAAGTCTACTCTACCTAGACTCGAATTACCTTTGGAAATACGGAAACGGTGAAACACCTGATTTTACAAACCACGGCAGTGATTTTTCTGCTTCAGGTTGGAGAAAAAAAAGCATAGGCCTCTTGCTAATAGTAATAACAAGAACAGACACCAAAGTTGACATTCACATTAGAGAAATTGAGTTCTACCAAAACCTAATATTAGAAAGGCAATGATTTTCTATTAGCAGAGGTGTTGCGTAACTTACGCATCCTCAATCTATGATTGTATTGGTGAAGGAAGCATGTTAGTCTAGTCAGGAACTATGTATAGCATCTAGGTTATCAAATAAGTACTTGCTATTAAATCACAATTTCAGTTAACTTACAAATTAATATGGCAGCTCTTGAATTAAGAATTTATAATAGATGTGGCAGAAAAGACAATTTAAAAATATATTTTTTTCTGAATACCTTTTGGGACAGAGTTCCTAATGTAGCATATGAGTGAATTCTTTAGGTTCTCTGCATATATTCAGCTTGCACAAATACTGAAATACAACTTGACTTATTGATGTTTTGTCTCCAAATACATAAACTTCCCCAATTCAAAATACTGCTTGCTTTAAATTCAACCTGGTGAGTACTTACTATCTCTCCTTGGCCCACCTTACATTTGTCAATTACATGTTGACTGTATAACACAGAAAAAATATATTCTGCTTTACCAACCAGGCTGAGTCTCCTGAGGGAAAGAACATGTCTGTTATCTTTTTGAATAAAGTGAAGAGAAGTAGAAAATCTTCCCAGGACTTAGTAAGAAATCTTTATTACAGCAGGAACTCAAATTAATGCTTATTTTTGACAAAGAAAAGGTAAAGAAACCAATTATCTTTAGGCAATAACCAGAATACCAGAGGAATGTGAACAGATAATACCAATAAGTTCACACTGTTGTTAACATATAGATGCTGGCAAAGAGACACATTAAAAACTAGTTTCAAAATTGAGACAGAAGAGCAGAATTACGATATTACAGCCAGCACATTCAGTGTTTCTCTAGGGCAATTCTTGCCAAGAGTTTCAAAGCCAGTCAACAATGAATACACAGCTAGTCTAAAAAGCATTCTTTAAGCGCCACCCCCCCCCCCCTTTTTTTTCTCCTGGGAAGCTTTCTACATTCTCTTATTCTGGGAAGTTAATTAAGAAAATATTATTTTGCCAGATATATTTTTTCCCCTCTCCTTTGAAACTTCTGCTGGTGACAGCCTTCCAAAACTGGGAAAGCATCTCTATGCCAGCTGTCCCCTATATCTTGGCCCATACTGTGAAAATAAAGTGATTCACAGAGAACAGTATACATGCACAAGTGACATCAACAGCACATCTTGAAAAGTAATACTGTAAATAAATATGAAATGTCACATCTTCCCCTACAGGAAAACTTTTAAGATGAAAATCAGCCTCATAGCTGGAAGTACAGCTGATTCAAGGAGTGTACTTGATTGGACAAAGGAACAGGAGATATTTTAGTGAACTAATATTACTATTAATTTTGCCAGTGCTTATTTTGTGAATTTGGGTAAGTCACTGGTATTTAGTAAATGGGATTGAGAGTGGATAAAATATATAATTAAAAATTCATGCATGTTGCCAAGAAGAAACTAAAGTATTTTTATCAGCTGCCAAATGGTTGCTCAATTTCATTCAGTTTGACTTGAAAACATCAGTGAATACATAAATGAAAATGACACATTTTTTACCATATGCAATTTTCTGTAATCTCTGAAATTAAATAATAAGTTCTAATGCAAAATACTGTGCAAAATAAAGTCATAAAAATCTGAACGCCCTGGTTAATAAATTCTTGACAGACATCATTATGAAAGATAATAGATGATTTAGTAATTTAATAAATTAAGTATTTATATACTGAAAAATATCTTCATGGTACACTAAGGATAGATTTAACTAAGGAAAAATCCACCTGGCAATTAGAAATAAACACGAAGTAAAGTTAAATATACTTCAAAATGGTATATTTTGAATTCTAATTTCTTATGCTTATTTCAAGTGAGGCCAGAACTAATTAAGTAATATCATCATCTCATAAAAATCGGCTCAAGTTTTGCAAAGATGTAGCCCACACCTCTATTAGTTTTAGTAGATCTTTCTTCAATTTCATTACCTCCCAGGAAACAAGAGAAACTAGCTTCACAGAATTTAAGAGAAGGCTGGAGTAATCATATTCTCTGGGATTATAAACTGGGGGTCCTTGGTGGGCCTCCATTGTACTGTTAGTTTTTGGAAATTGTGTAAAAATCCACGTAGTCAGGAATATGCATTTTATGAGAGGGACGTGTTTCAGCAGAATCTTAAAAGTGGTCTGTGAACCTCAACATGCTCACAAAATAATGACTGAATTCATCTACCTTCCTGGTTACAAATTAGCCAAAAGAGTTTAAATGACTGCTGCAAAGATAAACCTTGAGTAGCTGCAAAGACCTAGATTCAGGTCTTTTGATAACCAATTAGTTCACTGTACTACTATGCCCATATCGCTTTTCTTAGTAGAGAAAAAATGAGTTAACTGTGCACAGTGTTTTTGTGAACATATCTTGTTTTAGGTAAGAGAATAGTATCTTGGTCAGAAATACTACTTATAAATACAAATTCTGAAGATATGAAAGGTAAGAAAGAAGATCTACAGGAGTCAAGTAAAACACTCATGGGCCTCCAAACACAAACCAAGCTGCTTCCAAGCCAAGCTCAGACCCACCCATGCCTTAAGACACTACAGCACATGTATGATCTTCAAGCTGACAGAGAAAGCCTGAGGACCCCTAAAAGATGAACAGATAATGAGGCATCACATTCTAAAACAGAGAGCTATTAATACCTCAGTGGAACATGGCCCAGAGGTGTAAACTCTCTCCATCCCACTGACTCAACAACTCTCCGCCCCACTCCCCACACCTATATGTAGGTACAACATGATTTAAAGGTTTAGATGCATAACATACAAATGAAAATAAAGCATGGCATCTCACAAATTTGTTAGAAGAAAAAGAAAATTAACAATGATTTATTTCATGGTTTTATGATCAATATTTGGACAGAATGTCACTAAGATAATAAGGAAGAAATGTACATTAATCTTGCCAAACCATGCTGTGCAATCTCTTGGTGTTTCTAAAACCAGAAAGCTGCTTCATTTGTACATATGCATCTATGTGCATATAGACATCTAAGTACATATTCTAGCTCTACCATTTACTTACTGTATGGTATTGGACAAATTAATTAATCTCTTTGTGACTAGAGCTTCCTACTAGTAAAATGGAGATAAAAGCATTGACCTTTTTGGGTTGTTGTGAGGATAATATGCGGTAATATGAGTAAACAGCCTATCACATTTTATAGTGACAATAATGGCTGTCATCACTGTCTCATCATTATCACAGAGAGGTACAGGCCATTAATAACATCTGGGCAGGAAGGTGTTCAGAAGGAAGCCTAAGACAAAATTGTTTATTAATGAAATGCTTATGAAAACTCCAACTACTCTCTGGGAGAACACCAGAAAGTCTGTTCAGCTTAGGGTGTGTGTGTGTGTGTGTGTGTGTGTGTGTGTGTGTGTATGCGTGCATGCGTGTACGTGTGTGTGTGTGTGTGTATGTGTGTGTTTTCCAATTGGAGCCACATTCTCAAGAACTTGGCATATCAGTGTTCTCCACCAAAGAGTAGGAGAAGGTTGGATTGATCTGGGTGAGTGGATCAGTTGCCTTCTCTTCTTACAACTTGGGGGCTGGGTAACTGCAGGTGCTCCCAATCTCCGTTATACCAATTCCTTTTATGGGGAATCTGATTAGTGCAAATATTGTATCTCTGCCATATTTCTGACCAGTAGCTGAACTAAAATAAGGGTTCTTGGGAATTTGTTTCTTTGGAAGTGAAATGCTTCGATGACTTATCTTAAAAGATAATAGGATTCTCTTGGTATTTATGGAGAGAGACAGTATCATTGATGCAATGTCACTATGAAACACTGTAAACCCCCAATCATGTCTGGCCTGAATGACTCTGTTGAGGTCATGCCGTCCCACAATGGGGACACACCTGAGGCTATGGAACACTGAAAAGCTAATAGCTGCCAACAAAAGACAGATTTCAAGGCTCCCAGTGCAGTTTGTTAGTCACCAGCATCATACAAGTAATTATCTGTCTGATGTATACTTATTAGGCAACAATCCTCAATATTCCACCTTAAAATATGTTGTTGAAAATGAAGAGTTTTACCTTTTCATATTCAGCAAAGCCCAAGGTATTCCAGAGGGAGTATGGAATGCAGGTAGCAATTTTATCCCAAGTTCCACTGCTTTCTTTCGGAAAATCTGAAAAGTTAAACAGTTAACTGTAAGCTACTGTTGCAAGCAAAATAAGATGTACTAAACTACTATCTAATAGTTAGCACTTTTCTACTTTAATATTTTATTTATCTGACAAAAAGCTCACCAGATTACAAAATTGCCTAGTAAAGCAACAACAGTCCAGGGGCTATCATACTGGGGATATTAATTCCCAATCTTGGTTGCACATTAGAATCACTTGGGGAGATTTAGATGCTACTGACGTGAACATCCTACTCCTGAGACTCTAATTTCTATAGCTGTAAGCTTCTGGATTAGTATTTTAAAAGCATCACAGGTGATGCCCAGTGATTTCAATGTGTAAGCCAGGGGGAGAACCACTGTTGTTGGAGGATAAGACCTGATCTAAGAATCAGGAGATCTGGTCTATTCCACCTTCAGCATTATTATTTACTAGAGCACAGAGAAAGGAGAAGTTTTAAAATGGCATCATCACAGGAGGTCTATGTGTCTTCTCAACCCTTGCAGCTTTAACTTTCTCTGACAATAAGTGTAAGTGATATAAAAAATACTAAGTTAAATTAGGTACAGATTCTGCCTAGAGTTTAGCAGGGAAGATAATTATATGCACATAAATATTTAGAACACAGATGAGATAAAATACTAGGTGAGTTCAGTGACATATTCAGGTGAATTCAGTGAGGCTATATGCTGGAGATAGCAGGTAGATGAGAACTGTATGCAACATTGAAACAGGGCTAATAATACCACAGACTGGAGTGAAGACTGGAAGTAAATAGGAGATTCCTGAGGGATAAGCCTCCTCCCCAAAGAAAGAGGCAAGTGGGGCCCTACAGAATAAGCAGGGAATATGGCAGCCTGCCTGACAAAAAAAGAATACTGGTAAATGAGGTCAGGCATCCACAGCTCAGGCCAAAACATGGAGGGCCATAAATGCAAGACTGAAACTTTTATTCTGGTTAGAATGGAAAAATAATGAAAGTTTCTGAGCAGCCAATTCTATTGCACAGAACTGTGTTTCATTAGATGATATCCATCCTCAGTTTTAGGTCCAAAGAAAAGCACTAACTTATTTACTGAAGAAAAGTCTGCTTGGTTGTGGCACCAAGCAGGTGCCTGGTCCCCTCTCCTTTAAGCCGTATGACGGAGCATGGTGGACTGGAAGTGTACCATTTCTTCCTCAAACAAGGAAGAAGTGAGAGAGGCTGGAGGAGCCCTGAAGAGCATGGAGAATGGAAGCAAAGCTCTCTCAGCCACTGGGGAAGCATTCACTAAAGCAATTGACAAAGAAGTCACGTGTGGCTTCTCCAGAAGGAAGAGCTTCAATGCCTAAACCTGCTCTAAGCCCTGAGCCTCCCTACGGAGACATCTAGGCACTCGGGCTCCCAGACTGAAGGTAATCCAGTAATACCAATGTTGAGGCTACTTCCCAAGCCCTATCTTTTGAAATACTAAAAAATATTGTTTTTTTAATTTAAAATTTTCCTTACATACCAAAGATCTTTTGGAATCTAACTCTCATTTAGTAGTGAAGTCAAGAAAGAAATGATTTGGTTGACAGTCAATTTAGATAAACTGATATTCCTTGCATACAAATAAATACATTTGTAATATATAGACAGTGCTAAAAAAAATAGAGGTGCCATTTTCTCCACAAATTATTGTATCTCTTGTCAAAGGGGATAATTTCCTGTATCAGTAACTAATAGTTTACGGAGAGGAGAAAAAAAAAAAAAAAAAAACAGAGCAAAGGGTATATTCTTTCCCTTTCTCTGCCTTACCCTAGAGAATTTCACGTTGTCTCCTGCTGTAAGGATTTATCCAATCACTGCCCAGCCATCTGTTGAATTTCTGGTTTCTACCCAACTTTTTAAACCTGTTAATTAACTCCTTTTCAAGAAACTTACATAAGATAGAAGTCAAACTATGTAATTAAAACACCAAGTTGGATATAACCATATGGCATAGGAGTTGAGGGCTCACGCTTTGAAGCACAACGCCTGTGCTTGATCTCAGCTCCACTTCTCCAAACTCGGCAATCTCGTGTAACATGCCTAATTTCTCTGTCCTAAGCTTCCTCATCTGTACAATGGAGATAACAACAGCATTTACTTTTTAGAGGCTGTGGAAAGAAAGAAGTTATTATACTTTAATACTTTAGGACACAGAGTAATCACTAATAGGTAGTTGTAGTTTTTATGGTGATAATGATAATGGTATTTCCTCCAGAAGCTGGCTTTTATCTACCTGTTGTGTTGGTGCCTTCTACTTATTCAGCCTCCTCTCTCTCTCATTCTCTCTCTCTCATGGTGCTCCCAATCTCCGTTATACCAGCTCCTTTCATGGGGAATCTGATTAGTGCAAATATTGTATCTCTGCCATATTTCTGACCAGTAGCTGAACTGAAATGAGGGTTCTTGGGAATTTGCTTTTTTGGAAGTGAAATGCTTTGATGACTTATGTTAAAAGATAATAGGATTCTCTGGTGGAGTAGGAAAGGTTTTTTTTTTTTTTTTTTTTTTTTTTTTTTGTGTGTGTGTGTGTGTGTGTGTGTGTGTGTGTTACTCCCCACCTGCCTCTTCCTTGACATACACACACTCTTAGTCATGTTCATTCATTCTCAACAGCTAAGGCCTCCATCTCATCACCTATCTGCATTCTTGAATTCAACTTTCTATTAGCTCTAGTTCAGTATTTCTACCTGTGTACACACATCACAATTTGGCTGTATTGTTATCTTCTGAAACTTAACATGTCTAACACAGAATCAATCATTTAATATCCTGGGCAAACTTTCCCAGCTCTACCACTGACATTATTTTTTGGTCAGTCCCCTGGACTCAAGTGAACAGGCATTTTGACTTTTGATTTACTGTCCCCTTCAGTCACCAAGTATCATTGTTAACTCGTCTGAAATGTCTTGTATGCAGTTCATTCTCTGATAGAAGCATAGGTCATGTTCTCATTGCCAAGTAAAATGAAATGCATGATTAAAAAAAAAAAAGAAGGTCCTCCTATCCAGCCTGCTACTTTCCTTATTTCCATTAATAATTTTTCCTCATCTCCATTAATCTGTATTTATGTTACCAACTTTCTCTTTCTACCATACAATTTTCTTGTTCAAGAAATGATAATGACTTCCTCTGTTGTCTAAAATAGTAGGTCAGATCTGCTCTACCGACGGTTCAACCACCTCTGTGAATCAGATCCTTCAATTATTTTCTGTCCATGTGGCTCTGGCTCCAGCTCCAGCTTCTGAGTCTTCACGGTCTTAAGCACTCATTCCTGTTCAGTCCATCTTCGCAACTTTATTTATACAGTTCTCTCATTTTAAATCATCCTCTTCTGCCTCCTTTTGGCTGATCCAAATTTACCTATTCTTTAAGGCCAAAGTCAAGTCTTGACTGCAGGCCAAGACTCCAGGCCAAGATCTTTACCTTCTCTGAACTCCCACACTAACTAGTACCACACAATGCAGTCTTTGATACAGATCTCTAAATGCAAGATATAGAAGGCAAGAGAGAGATCTCTCAACGTCTTCTTGTGTGTTTTCTCTCATATCCTCCAATAATTTTTTTCTTCTAGAAGTAGAGAAAAAGACCTCAATTTCTCCTTCACTGTCTATTATACATATCTAACCCAGATTAAGTCATTTTGTATTTAAATTTACTGATATCATCACAAGGCGATGTAAGTAGTAGGTAGGATGATATTCATAGTCTCAGTTCATGGATAGGAACAGTGGCCCTTTCCCATACCGGGGTTTTTGCACTTGGGAGTTTCCTCTGCCTGCAATGCTCTTTCCCAAGCTCTTTGCATGCCTGGGCTCATTTTTACCTTCAGGAATCTGCTTAAATGTCCCCTCTTGAAAGGTCTTTTTCTAACCACCCCACACAAAGTTGGCTTTCCTTATTTGTTATTGTATCACCTTGTTTATTTTTGTCCCATTATTTAGCATGTCTAAATTATTTTATTAGCTTATTGTTTGATAACCCCGGTAGATATGATCTCAGTGAAGGCTTGGGAGCAGCCGGCACTCAATAAATGTTCATTTAATAAATAAATGAATCAATTAAGATTAACTACTAGGTGAGTACAAAAGTAATTGTGGTTTTTGCATTGCTGGAATTTGCCTTTTGGTACTGGAATACATTCTTAAATGTGGTTATGTTACATATCATTTTAAAGCGCATTTCTCACTTTATTAACTTTTTTTGTTAATGACTTATTACTTGCTGTTTATTTTATGTTGATTTTAGACTATGGAAATGATGTTAGGCAAATGAAAATTTCAGTGATTTTCTTATTCGAGTTCAAAATGGGTGGTAAAGCAGTGGAGACAACCCACAACATCAACAATACATTTGGCCCACATTGCTAACAAATGTACAGCACAGTGGTGATTCAAGAAGTTTTGCAGCCGGGCGCAGTGGCTCACGCCTGTAATCAACACTTTGGGAGGCTGAGGCGGGAGGATCACAAGGTCAAGAAAGGAAGACCATCCTGGCCAACATGGTGAAACCATGTCTCTACTAAAAATACAAAAATTAGCTGGGCATGGTAGTGCGTGCCTGTAGTCCCAGCTACTCAGGAGGTTGAGGGAGGACAATTTCTTGAATCCAGAAGGCAAAGGTTGCAATGAGCCGAGATCGTGCCACTGCACTCCAGCCCGGTGACAGAGTGAGACTCTATATCAAAAAAACAAAAACAAAAACAAAAACAAAATCCAAACAAACAAAAATAGAAGTTTTGTAAAGGTGATGAGAGCCTTGAACATGAGAAGCACAGTGGCCAGCCACGGGAAGTTGACAATGACCAGCTGAGTCCAATCATCGAAGCTGATCCTCTTACAGCTACATCAGAAGTTGCTGCAGAACTCAGCATTGACCATTCTATGGTCATTTTGCATTCAAAGCAAGTTGGAAAGGTGAAAAAGTTGGATAAGTGGATTCCTCATGAGCTGAGTAAACATAAAAAAAAATCGTTGTTTTGAAGTGTCTTCT